ATAACGAGCGTTCAAATAAAAACGTGGTCAAGTTGGTTCTGAAAATTTGGACGTAGGGCGTAGCGTATAGCAAATGAACTTAAACGTCATCTGTCAAAGCGCTATATCGCCGCTACCAATTTGAATATTTTCGTTTTAAAAAGCGTTTAAAATGAAAATATTCAAATTGATAGCGGCGATATAGCGCTTTGACAGATGACGTTTAAGTTCATTTGCTATACGCTACGCCCTACGTCCAAATTTTCAGAACCAACTTGACCACGTTTTTATTTGAACGCTCGTTATAAAACCTTATAGAACAAAAAGTTTTGCTCTTCTGATTTTCGGCTTTAGCGTCATTATTGTAGATATACATTGAACTATAGTTTTCGAAAGTTTTATCACTTTTTGTTTGTAATTGATATATTTACAGCAACTTTAAAAAATTGACGTTTTATACCGTTTTTTCAATTTCACGGCTTTGTTATTACAAATTTCGTAATCGGACCAGAGCCATTTTGTAGCTATTTTTATTACGGACAAAATCATGTCCTAAGCATTTTTTCGTACAAAGTCATCCCGCTGAGTTATTTAAAGAAAACTACTAAAAAAATTTTTTTTCACGATTAAATTGTTAATAACTTCTTTTTCCTGATAAAATACTTTATTAGCAAATTAGCCTGTTATTGTACTCATCATTTGAAGTATTCCTGTGCAGTTATTTCCGAGTTATCAAGAAAATGACACCAACAGTAACTTTTCGGCCTCTATCGACTGGACTATATATATAATACCTTTTGCCGCCATATTATGTGGAAATTTCTTAAAATACGTTCCTAAATAAATTCAGCAAAAAACTTATTTATTTATTTATTTATTTATTTATATGTATATTTATTTATTTAGCATACACCACTCTACAGCCTAAGCCAATTAATAAGTGGGAATATATTTAAGATATAGTAAAAAAAAAACTAAAAAAAAAACTAAAAAAAAACACATTAGTACAAATAAAGACATAAATGTATATGCAAATATAAAACACATGAATTGCAGATAAAATATGTTTTACAAGCTAAGAAAGAGAATAAAAGAAAAACAAACATACAGGGTATGTATGACGTGTATAATCTATAAAAATTAAACTACAGCTTGCTAACGATATTTGTAATAGAAAAGTCATATACGAAAAAGCGTTTTTTGCGTTTTTTTTTTGTAAATTAAAGTTCAATTGTGGATCAAAATATTTTCTCTGGTACGGACCTGTCCGTGTGTTTTACGATGAGCTACGTGCTGTAGACCTACCGCGTAAACAAATCGTCGTTGAAAAATAGAAAGATACTTCTCAATTTTTGGGGAATTTTTCAGTGCAAAAGTACAAACTAAGAAAAATAGATATTTAAAAAAACTGATATTTTTTTATTATAATAATTAATAGTAATGACTATCTTAAATGCATTGTTGTTACTGCAAGAGTTCGCAAACAAAACCACATCCGTAAGCATCTGTAGTTGCCTACTGCGTGCACTAAACAGACTCCGTTAAAATATAAAACAAAATTAAATAAAACTTATCATTTTTGTTTCATATGTTGAAAATTGTGTCAGCAGTTTTAAGTACCTATACGGTTTACGCACTGTATAGTCCATTGAAATGAAGGCTGAACCTCCATTTTTTCCTCTGTCGATCAAACCTGGGCGCAAATATGTATTCGACCCTCAGGAATCCGAATCCGCAAAAATTTTTGACCTAGGTGGTCAGGAAAGGGGTCAAAAGGTCAAAAAACCGTAAAAAATAAGGTTTTTCGCAAATATCTCGTAAACTACGGCAAGTAGCAAAAAAATAATTGCACCATCGTGTTCCCAGGGAAATTTTACATCGATTTTATGCTATTGCTTATTAAAATTAAATAAATTTATGTCAT